CACTATCATCACCTCATTTATCATTAGTACGATACATAAGCCGACGAAATGAACTTTCGACGAAACAAACTTTCGACGAAATGGGTGTCGACGAAATGGGTGTCGACGAAATAATTGTCGACGAAATGATTTTCGACGAAGTAAACGGGACCGAATAACGGGTGATAAGAAATATCAAGATAAAGGGTGGGATATATGGCAGGTAATGTTATACTTTTATTAAATATTCTTTTTGACAAACATGTTGTACATACATTCTTTGATAGCATTTTAACTTTTATTCATCAACTAATAATAGTCTATAGAAAAATGGTGCAAAACAGATGCAGGCTATTCAGGATTGTATAATGTGAATTATATGCCAGTCGCTAAAAATGACGGCACGGAAAGGTAATTTAATTATTTTGTTGATATCCTATATATTACGGAAACGTATGTGCCCTTTATCTAATTGTTATCGTTTTTTCAAGTTTCTTTTTGGCCGAAACGTTGAAGTACCTATACTTGTTATTCAGTCCACCTGATTTGATATCATTAGACACTTATGTTTTCAATACTGAAGCACATCCATTTTTGAAAATAACAGAAAATCTTGATTTTTTTGTAAAGTCATAAGAAAAAAAAAATAAATATATATATATATATAGAGAGAATTATATTATTGTGTTATTGTGTTTAACAAATTTGACTAATTATCACTGATTACTAGATTTTCTTTTGTGGATTATGTCCACTTGTAATGGAATGTATATAAAATCCTAATAAATACATTTATAATTTTTTTTGTAAATTTCATTTACTCTTATATTTATGTATGTATCTCTCTCTCAAAGTTTACATTTGTCTTGTTCTTTTTCGGATATTTATTTAAATGTTAAATCTATTATTGAAAGGATTACGACTATAATGTTCTGATAGATAATGATTTAGAGGAAAAATAATTTCAGAAGAAAACGACGAACCCCTAAACAAAGATTATTTGACATCCAAGTAGAAGATCGATTCAAAGAAGAACTTGAAACGTTCTTACAAAGTTAAAATCATAAATCGACTTTGTTAGATTAGATCAACCTTTTTTTTTCGTTAAATATTTGTCATTACCTTGTTTCCTTCTTATTTATCTTCTATTATAATTGAATTTTTTTCTTTTTGCCTTTTTCTTTTCAATTTTATATTGTAAAAACAAAATAATAAATATAATAATGCAAATGTTAAAACATAATAATAATTATTCCTCTATATAAACTTAAATAGAGCACCTACAACTTGTCTGCTCCTTCGTTTTTATAATAATAATGGTTTTCCTATAAAAGTATTTCTTTTATTAATATAAGATCTCAAATGTTTTTTTAAATTTATATTAAATTTCTTGTGCACATAAATTTCGAAATTTTCCATTCTAATAAAATCTTCGGTGTTACGAAAACATGTAATGTATGAACCCCTATGTATGTAACATATGATTTTTATTTCCATACATGTATGAAAATGCAGATCATACATACATACATTTTTATTAAATTAATATAATAATA